GTGAATGGATGCAAGAAAAATTGATTTAAAATTCAAACAATAAATGAATGTTAGGGCGGAACAATTTCACATATTGATCACCTTTACTTCTAATATTGAGATTCATAAAATCTAAAGTAGTGTTCAGTCGAATTTTTCTATTATATTCAATTTACCCCTCTCGAGTTTTCATTAAGCCTATTTAAGTACTTCAATTTCATATCTCTATGCGAATCAAACATAGTTAAACACAATAATAATTTTAAGAATTTATCTATGACCGCAGCAATTAATATAGGTATCTCTACATGTTATATTAATTTACCGAATTTTAATAGGTGGTCTAAACAAGAATCTACATCTCTATACAATTATTGTTCACGAAATCATTGAATAATTGGCCAAAAAATTCAAAGCATTGAGAACATAATTAAAATCCACACATATAATCATAATGAACAAGAATCCTAAATAATAGAAATAAAGGGTCCTAAATAGGTTACATTGGTCGCCCTAAAATTAGATTAGTTACAAATAATAATGAAAGAAAAACAAAAAATTATTATGGAAGACATCACCGGGTTTTGAATAAGAATGTAGAATAAGAAATCAATTTTACACCAAGATCTTTTTCCCCTTTCAATTTATGCTTCAACCCTGAAATTGCTTGTTGTTTTGTTCTCTTGAATTCTTCTCTTTAATCTCCAAGTGTGTGTCTTGCCCCTTAATATGTGAATCCCCCCCACCCTTCAAGTTGTGAAAAAATTGTATTTATATGTGTTTTGCCGTGTGTAGGAAATAAGGTTTTCATGAACTCCAAAATGGGCCGAAATTCTACTTAGGTTACGGATTGGGGCGCTGTGTCAAAAATAGGTGGTGGCGCTGTAGCGCCACCTCTCTGATTCTCCCGGCGCCGTAGCCCCACTTCGGACAGACAGCACCTCGTTCAGTCTTATTGTCATAACTTTTTCTCTCGATGTCCAATTGAGGCGATTCAAGTTGCGTTGGAAAGATAACTCAAAGGCTACAACTTTACTTCAGATATCATTTCCAAATTTGATCATTTTCTATGTCAAAACCCAAGCTTTTTTTATTTATTTATTAGTCTATTTAGGAGTCATTAACCATATCCTATCTATCCATAGGTCTCTGAATAAATGTATAAAATACACTTATCAATTAACTATGATCAAAATTATCATCAATGTGACTATCTATGATCAAGTCAATATTAACTGTGATGGTGTGTGACCAAGTTACAACTGATTACAATTAACACAGAATTGGTCACAACTAATAAACAATAAACACATACTTGATCACATAGGATCACTACTTACATACATTGCAGATTATTGCTATAATGTCGCGAAAATCTTATGGAATAAAATTTATTTATTCTTTATCCTATATATTTATGAAATTGAGGGACTAAAGTAAAATATGTTTTTTATTCTTATATTTTTTAGTCAAATAATTAGATTTTGATAGAGCGAGATTTAGTATATGAATATTGGACTCATTTTATAGGTCGTATTAAATAACGCATTATGAACTCGAGAAAAAATTTATTTGGATAAGATAGGTCTAAGATATGGAAGTTTAAAAAAGTTATCTTTAATTTGTAATTAATTAAACTTTGTTTATAATTTTAATTTTATGGTAGCTTCCTATGAGATGATAAATGTTGATTTTTGATTCTTTTTGTGATTTGGATAAAGTTTATCTATAATCTTAAATTGTTTTTGATCAAGTCTAATAGTAATAATAATTCTATTATTTGAAATAAATTATTATTCAATTTCCTTGTATTGCATAGTTTTTCAGTTTTAGTTGCATACAAACTCAATTGAGAATTTCAACTATCAATACTGCAAGAATTTTTATTATTTCACCATAGAAAATAAAGTCATAGTAGAAAGAGGAGAGGAAAAAGTATTGAAAAATAATAGGAGAATTTTTACGTGCAAGATTTTCTTTTCTTTTCAACCTTTTCAAAATAAAGGTAAAATACTTTTGTGCAAGTAGTTTGTTTTCTTATACTTTTATGGGTTCAATTAAATATGCATGAATTTCTAGTGGATCTTTGATTTCATTAATGAGATATATGAAATCATTCGGAAATTTATGAGGACCTAAGAATGGTATGTCGTTTGGTCACCGATATAATCCATAAGAAAAGAGTGGCGTGAAGTGTTTATTTATTTGTTTTATATAATTATGTATGAAAACTGCACGTATCTTATTGTATTTTTAAATACTCACTGTAACAGTAATTTTATAGGTTAGTTCCGGTCAATTGGAACTACGGCGAGATGGTGATGCGAACTGCCAAAAGGACTCAAAACAGAAAACATTAAGTCTTCAAGATTTTTAGTTAGTTTTATTCATCCTAATACATGTTATTTAATTAGTTAAGCGATTGTTTTTTTTTTAAGATACAGTTCTCATATTTAGTTTAAATTTATGGACATTTCAGTTGTTTTATTTTAAAGAAATTTAGTTTATCGTTCTACCTTCAATACAAAAAAAATAATAATAATAATAAATAAATAAAGAATTTTTTTGTTAACACTTTAGGATTTGTGAAATTTTGGGTGTTGCAATTGCCACAATCAACCATAAGTCACCATTACCATCACCTCCAATACTCCACCATTATCACATTCAACTCAAATTCATGACCGTAAATAATACTTTCATTGACATGTGTTATCCGTGACTAATGGTGACCAAATTTAGCTTTAGTGTGACTTTCTGTAACATGTCAGTCTAATTTGTGACTATATGTGACTTGACCGTATGTCACCAAGTCATATACAATCACAGCTAACATAGATCTGATCATAGATAATCACAATGAAAATAGATTTAGTTAGACATGGTTACAGTGGCCACCACTACCACTCTCAACAAAGTTAAGAACCAAATACACACCATCTTACTGCGATCAAATGAACCACCAGCAACAGAACCATTACCCTATATACCACCACCACAACAATAAAATCGCCCTACAAATTAGAAAATCACCTGCACCATTTGCAAAATACCAAAAACCATGGTTTTCTTTAGGCAAGCTGAAAAGTGAATTTGTGACCGTTGAAAATGTCCAAAGTCGGGGTCCTACACACGTGAATGCATATGGAAACTAAAAAAGGTTTTGGTGAATGGACAATTTGGACCCGTTTGAATGTGCTATAACTGTTGAGGATGAAAGACACATTTGCAGCATTTCCAATATTTTGCAATGACTTTTCTCATAAAACGGGCCCACCCAATGCCCCAAAACGTACCATCATAAAACATAAATGGAAATTGATTGAACATGAGAATAATAATTTGCCATTTATGTCAATATATAACAATAACAACGAAAACATGGCTTAACCATACTTGAACTGATTATTGGAGATACAACAATTTAACGAGAATAGAAACTGTTAAGCGCGTCCACCACTTTGAGCCAACCAATCACCAAAACGATCTCACTCATTACGTTGCATTTTCGATGCATTCATTTCAGCGACGACCTATTCGTGTTTGTCCGATAGTTCTACCTCTATCGCGTCGAGGTCCGTCTCAACTCACGTGAATGCCTTATCGACGACTCCTGCCCATCGGAGGAAGTTGTTGATGCCCATTGTTGCCATTATGACTGCAATTTGTACTTGAAAGTTATAGCGTGACATACGATCCAGTATTTTTCATCGACTTTTCCCTTCACCGAATGCCCGTTTGACTACGTTTCTACACGACGAGTGCTTGAAGTTGAACCTCTTACGCCGTTGCAAAAATTTCTCCTTCGACCCGTCTAAGTGTCTTAGAACTGCCGAAAATGGTACAAAATATCAGACCCCTTATACGAAGCCATGTACCCAAGTTTGTGGGTAAATCCCGAGTCCACAAGATAGTATTTTTCGAGACCCAATAGTGGGAAATCAATTTTCGGACAATGTATAGCGCGTGCCAAATATCCATGAATCATGTGTCGTCCCCATGTATCTCACTGCAAGAATATAGGTTGAAATCACATGCTGTAAGAACATTTTGGGTTGGGATTCCTTTGCGTCCGATAAAATCCACGCGTTCGTTCCGACGCAACACTGCTCTGACATGCGTCCCATTAATCACGCCAATGTAATCTTGAAACAAAAGATGCTTGTTCGGATCTGATACGTGATGCTCGACACCGTGATTGTACTGTGGATCTGGTCTTATGAGATGCACACTAAATTCAAGAGTTGCCTGTAGCATGTGTTTGAAGTAGTGGCTGATTGTTTCCAAAGAATGGTTGAACAGCGTCTGAACCTAACAGTACCCTTTTCCATGTGCTAATATGCACAAAAACATTTCGACTTGTTCATACACGTCTACGTGCTGGCAAGTGCGTAGTTCGTAATTGTCCCGGAGTATGTGTACGAATCTTCGAAGCATGAGCGGGTACAGCCTAAATTCTGTGTAGCACTGTTGAGGACTACATTCCATCACATGAAGCTTGAACATGTGCTCGTTCCTTGCGAATGGGAATTGAGTAATCCGACGCCTGTGTCGACGGTAGTAGTTTGCCACATCAATTTCTACCATCTGACAGTATCGAAACCACTGAACAATGTCATCTTCAAGTAGTTGCATGATTTCCTCTTCCCCAATCTCATCTTCATTATTAGAAAACGACAGAAGCACACAGCTGAAATCCGAATGTACCATTGCCAATGTTCCTCACTCTGTTGGGAATTTCCCTACCTACTTGGAAGCTAAGAAGAGAGTAAAATTTTTTCTCCCTCACTCTCTCTCTATTAAATGAGCATAGTCATTCATTGCTGCAATGGAAGTAGAGGCAGTTCCCCTTTTAAAGAATTACTTAATATTGCAATTATACCACTGCTGAAAGTGTTCAAAGTGCAGTTTGAAAAAAGGTGAAGAGATTTTCCTAGCTACTGAACTTTATAACATAGATGGGGTTGTCAGAGATGCTCAATTTTTCATGACAATTGTTGACAAACTCCAACTAACAAGTAGCTTTGTGAACATTACAAAAGTTCACACAACAGATATGGACATGAAATCTCAGTAGTTGGTAGTACATATATGGATACAGAAAATCTTAAAAAGTACACAACAACAAAATTCAAAGGTTGATGAACCGCACACTGATGAAAACGGAAAAAAACGAAAGCAAAAAATAAGTTCCGCGGGACTCTCCGCAACAGGGAAAATTTATTCTGCCCCTCATGCAGTCCTCACTATGGTCGTCCTTTCCTGGACTCATGCCAGTTCCACTCCAACCAATCCATCTTTTCATTCGCATCATCCTGCATCTCCAGACCTCCATGTTCCGCTTTAAAGACAGAAACGTGTACGTCCAAAATTAGAGATTAGTATTTTTTGCAGCCTGCCTGTCGCGAACAACTTCTTCATGCATGTCTTCATGCTTGGAACATTGGATCTGACTAAGTTTTCAAGTTTCACCGCAACTTTCCCACTTGCGATCGTGGCTCTGTCAACTGAGTACGACAATTCCTTAACTGATATTCTAGTTCTCTTCTCCTTATTTTTACTATCGTTGGATCTATATTTCTCTCCACTCCTACGGCTGGAGACGTCCATGCTTGATAAGGGCCTGTCATACTTGTTGCCCTCATCGCTTGAGCTCTGCTCTCCTTGCACATCGGCATTGCGTCGTGCGTGCCATCGTTTGCATTGTCTTCAAACATGGCGATCCTGGTCCTGCACAACTTCATCGGCGTCGTCGTGTACTTCTCGTTGTCAAACACATCACTGAACAGAACCATGTAGGCATATATCTCTCTCAATCTTTATCTTTGAACTCTCTGTACTTTTTGTTCTCCTGTTCGGAATGGAAGAAAAAGAAATGCAAAATAAGTTAGGAGCCGGGATAAGGAATAAAAATATGAAATTACACAACTGAATTTTATGATATACGATATTACAAATTTTTTTTTTAATCAGAAGGTTATGCAATTATTTGCTAATATTCTACCAAATCCTATAGCGCACAGATGACGCTCGAACTGTAACATGTTTCAGTAAAAGTTCCATGCACAAATAAAACGAATACTAGAGTGTTGGTTGAAATCTAAATTTGTAAAGTGGCAATTCAAGCAACTTTGTACCTTAATCTTTTGTGCCCACCACTCGTCGGACGCGACTAGGGTACTGCGTGCAGAGTCGTATGCGATGCCTATGCAGTCTATCAAGCCCTGGAGACATTTGTACTTGACTCGAAGATAATCCTAGTGATTTTTCAACTGCTGCCTACTCCAATTGTACTCGGAGTTAGTGTTGAACAATTGGACAATCGTGTGCCAGCCATGTTTTGTGAAGAACTTCCCATTATGGTGCCTGTCGGCTATTACGGTCTCACATGCGGCAATGAAAACTCGATTATCTTCTGACGTTGACTGGGTAGTCCTCCTCCCAAGGGCTTAGGACGAGATTGGTGGGGGTTGGAAGTAGAGGCAGTATGAAAGACCATCTATGTTTGAGAAGGAAAATGAAATATAAATGAGATGCGGAGTTTTCTTACATGTAAACATACAAATCTGAACTACAAAGTAGTACATGGAAATATACAAAACATAACTGCTCTCTCATTCAACGATGAAATGACACAAATTTGATCTGTTAAACGACTCAGTTATGAAATCCAAACCCTTCTGGACAATCGGACAAGGAACCCCCGTTCATTCCCCCAATTTCCCTTTTACCACACGAAATTTATTTTCTGGAAAATGAATGAAATTGGCAAAAACAACTCACAATTTTCGGGTCCTATGTTCCCCGGGCCTTCCATAATTCGATTGTCAGAGCTTGCCCCAACAAAATGCCAGTACATACATATAACATATATGGATCCACGTACATGGAGAGAGAACCAATTTGTAATTTTGTAGCATAAGCGATTTCCCATGTAGTAGTAATTCACGGCTGCACAATGTTGAACTCAAAATTTAATTTTACATAATGGGTTTGTGATTCAAGGAGAGAAACAAAGAAAGACAGAAAAATGATACAACTGTTTCCGGCAAACGTGAAACTATTATTGCACTAAATTCTGGAAACAAGATTTAAGATTTCAACCAACAAGTTTCTGTAAAGAAATTGTATACCACCTTCCTTAACCCTTTAGGGGAAACCCTTATGGGTTGTATCTGAAGACATGGAAAGAGATGTTTTTATGTCAGCATCACATTTCCAATTTTTGTATCCCAAATGCATATTTGCCTTCTTGTTTCACGGGTAGCCGTCGGTCACTGTTGCTATTTAGTAGATATTTTATGTTACTTAACATGCAATTACAAGTTAATATTAGTTATACGAGCTATTTTGCAATAGCAGCGATTTCTCATAGTAGGAATTCATGGCCGCAGAATTGTAGAAAAAAGTAGAGATTTTCAATACTAACCGAGGTGGAATATGGATCCATGGTGCTCTTGAACCTGTAGGGGTTTTTCAGTCAAAGAGGAAGAAATCGTTCGACCGGTTTGGAAATGGCGTTGCTCTGTGGGAGTGGTGGGTTTGAGCGTGAAATGTCGAAGGGTAAAAGAAGACGGCCAACTACTGTTTCCTGCAATCGTACTGATTTGTTGTCAGATTTTTTAACAATATTAAATTAATGACTACTGTTTCAACGGTCCAATAAGTGCTTGGTGGCGTCCCCAGACAAGCGCAAACTCTAGCTAAACAACAGATCTGATAAAAAAACTACCCACCACTAAAAATTGATGAACATTAATTAAAAAATACAAAAATCTAGATCTTTTGCAAGCACTACGGCCTAATTCGCCCCAAAACTTTCCCTTCACCACCAAAAATCAAAAAGTTCATCCCAAAACTGGCGAACTATACCACCAGCACTAGTGACGTCATTGATGGAAGTTACACAGAGGTTCGCTGGAAATACGCCTGATTCTCAGCATCGCCTAGAAATATGTCTGGTTTTTTGCTTGCAATAGCAGTGATAGTGAAGCAAAATCGACGTGCATAGCGGCATTTGAGAAACGGTACAGAGTGGGGGTGGATAGGAAGGTCGGTAGAGTGGGTTATAAATAGAGAAAAGATATAAAGAAGGAAGGGGGTGAGAAATGTTATGGTTTGAAAATGAATCGGCGTAGATGGGGGTGGTGGAATGAATATGCGATTGAGTTTAATTAAATTTTAATTAATTTAAATTAATAATACCTTATTATCACTTAATTTATGAATTTTAAACTAAACCCTCTTATCTATGAAAATTAGGCCCTACTTGAGTCTCATTCTACTAAAAATTCAATTTTTTTAAAACTCATTTTTAACTATACATTTTTAATAAAATAATATTATACGCAAACTCAAATTTTTTTCTTAATTTTTAATCACACATTCTCCATCAATCTACAATTCAAAATACATTTCCCCCCCAAAAATGGGGCTCAAACAAGGACTTAGTCTTAAATTTTAGTTTTCTAGGTAATTTTCCGACCACTTACTGACATTGACCAAACATTATATGAAGAATGATGTATGTACTCAATTGAACAAAAGCTCAAAGATGTGAATAGGGTTACGTAGGAATCAATAGAAAAGACAAGTCTTTATGATATATCAGATCCGGCTCGATTATTGATACTATATTATCGATCAAGTGAAAATGGTTGCTTAAAGTTAAAATCCAACTTTTAAGTAATTAAAAACTTTTTATTCTAAATGGTTTTATCTCCAGGCTAGATTTTTTTTAAAAAATTTTTTTCTACCAATAATAATTAAAAAACTATTTACTTAATCTAATATTCGACAAAAATAAAATAAAAATTGCAGAAGGAAAAAAGTTCAAAACCAAGAAAATAACAATGAAATATGAGATTCAATATGACTAACTCTAGTGTGCATGTGCAATTGAGAATCTGTGCCTATTAGATTCCTAATTTCTATTTTAAGTGCTATTTCCGACTCAATTAAAAAGGACCGACTTTGAGATTATGATAGCATTTTGTAATTTTTTAAAGATAAAATTACGTCCTCATTTGATTCCCATTTTTTTCAAAATACATCTTTCTCTCTTTTCTTTTCAACCACACATTTTTCATTAAAATAATTTTATATATAAATAAAAAACTTTTCCTTATCTTTCTTTAACGCATTTTCCATCAATTTATTATTCTAAAATTCATTTTTCCATAAAAATGAGTCTCAAACACCCTATATATATTATATTACAAGGGTATTTCCCTATGCAGGTGGGACCTTGGACAACCGTCTTTGCCAAACTTAGTCAAGGCCAGTCTTGCAATCAAATCGATTCTTTATCCATCTCCCTTTAGCAACTTATAAGGAAAAGTGGTAGGTTCAATGAAATTTGTTGATAATACTTCATCTGTTCCATAAAGATAGACGTATTTTATTTTATTTTTTGTCAAAAATTATATGCAACTTTCCTTGTTGAGAGTATAGATGATTTCTTAGTTTTCTAATATGAGCTTGTTTGATGTGCCTTATTGTCAAAAAATATGAATTACTCCTACTTAAATTATTATTTAATGTAGGGATCTATTAGAAAAAAAAATGTAAGAAAAATTTATATTTTCAACAATATTAGTCAAACAATTCCCGGATACCCGAAAATCGATTTTCCGGAAAAAGTTGAAAATAATTTTTTAATCTGTGTGAAAATGGAAGCAAATCTATTTTTTGAAATGAAAGGAGTAAATGAGTAATAATTATGAATTTGTGATTAAAGATTTTGATTGAAAATTATACACTTAATCAAACATAGGCAATAATAACTAGCACCTATAAACCTTTTAAAATTAGAATAACTTAAAAAACATGAAATTTTTATAACTTCAAAAATATCTAACTTGAGAAATCTAGAAGAGTAAGAATGCATAATCAAGTGCACACAATTTATATAGGAAAAATCAAAGGTTCACTCTCACTGTCTGATTATTCGAGGAGAATAAGAATATCTTCAATACTGACACAATATCCACCCATTGTGACAATATCTTGAATATTGAGATAAAATATCAGAATAATTGTACTAATAATTCCTAAACATTTTAAATGAAACGAATTTGTCATCTATAATTTGGTATAGTTTCACAATCAAACCTCAATGACAAATATTTATTAATCGTCATTTAATATCTGTTTTGAGAGTATCTGTTCTCACTCTTAACGTCTTTTTATCCCATTTACAACGTGGCGTGACAGAAAGAGGTGAAGGGTAAAAGGATATGTGCTCTTTCAAAGTGATCAGTATATATGATATAATAGTTTGGACACGATGCCTGGATCGTTACATGTTATGTGATTATCTCATGTCTAACTCTGTGAAGCTTCATATTCCAATGCAAGTCGTTGATCACGTGACAATTTAACACTGATTTGAACATTTTTGATCGTATAAGATTGATTGTGCTATGAAATATTGATTACTAGCTTTAATTTTTTATTTTTTATTTATTTATTTTTTTTAAAGTTTGGAGGAAAACTTTTTACTAGACCATTAGGTTAGACACTAGTGAAGCAATTTCTAGAAAAATATCTACCCGAAGGGCCCAAACGAGTGGATAAAATTATCCTGACCTAATGCGTGGATATGATCAATTGGATATCTCCTTATCCCTATAATAATTTATTCCTTCATCAAAACCTCAAGTTTTTGAATAGCTTCTGCTTCAATTTCATGGCTTCCCTCACTAACTTCTTAGCAAAACCCCTTCAAAATCTTGTTTCCGTTACGAAACTTAACCCTTTTCCTTCCCCTTTTCCCTCCAGTTTTATACCCTCCACTAAACCTAAACAGTTTCTATCAAATTTGGAAACAAATTTTAAAGGTTCCAATTTCATCCCAAAAGCTGCAGCAGCCTCAGGTGTGAAAAAAGTAAACAGCGATGAGAGAGTACAGAAAGTCCATAGTATCGAAGAATTCGATGAAGCCCTACGTGCCGCGAAAAACCGGCTCGTCGTTGTAGAATATGCAGCGAGCCGTAGTTTTGAGAGCAGCAAGATCTACCCTTTCATGGTCGACTTAAGCCGAACATGCAACGACGTAGATTTCCTTCTCGTAATGGGGGACGAGAACGAAAAAACCCGAGAACTTTGCAAAAGAGAGAAAATAGAACAAGTCCCACATTTCAGTTTCTACAAAAACATGGAGAAAATCCATGAAGAAGAAGGCATAGGCCCTGATCAACTCATGGGGGACGTTTTATACTACGGTGACAGCCATTCTTCTGTGGTGCAGCTGCATTCTAGAGAAGATGTGGAGCGTCTGATTGATCAACACAAAGTTGATAACAAGTTGTTGGTTCTTGATGTGGGATTGAAACATTGTGGGCCATGTGTTAAGGTTTATCCAACGGTGGTTAAGCTGTCGAGGCAGATGAGTGATACTGTGGTATTTGCAAGAATGAATGGGGATGAAAATGAGAGTTGCATGCAATTCTTGAGGGACATGAATGTAATTGAAGTGCCAACATTTGTGTTCATAAGAGATGGGCAGATTTGTGGAAGATATGTTGGATCTGGTAAAGGAGAGCTTATCGGAGAGATTCTTAGATACCAAGGAGTTCGTGTGACTTATTAATTATAAGTAATTAATAGAAAAAAAAAAGTTGATTGATTAAGTACGTATTGATTGTGGTCGTTTACTTGTTTGTCACAAATGAATATTTGGAGGTTATATCTTGGTTAATGAAAAATTTGTGTTTATAGTAGAATGAGTTGTTGCATAATTAATTAATTAATTATAAGTTTCTTTATGTGGAAATACATAAATAAATTGTCATAGAAGTCATCTTTGGCATTTTCATTTTTTAATTTTATTTTCTCATTTTGTTTTGGAATTTATAGAATGTTATTACAGTAGTTGTAGAAATTATTAATAATTATATTTGT